TACTTAGATATGTTGTGCTATTCAACATTGTTCCACATGAATTAAAGGGCTCAAATTATGCCAGAAAAACATGCCCCAAACCATAACACTGCAACCAGCTTGAAGGGTTGTACTCATGCATGTGGGGTGCATGCTTTCATGCTGTTTCTGCCAAATTCTCACTCTGTCATCTGCATGATGCAACTGGAAATGTGATTCATAGGACCACATGACTCTTTTCCAGTGCTCGACTGTCCAATCCTTGTGTTCCTGTGCTTGGGTAACTGTCATGGTAAACAGCCTGCTTCCCTATTTATAATGGTCTGGCCCTCTAGCAACTTCAGCGCAAAATTATAGCTAATTTGCCTACAAACATCAGGTGGTCATAATAATCTGGCCACTCAGACTAGAGGCCCGGTGCATGAAATTCATGCATGGGGCAGGGTGTCCATAAACCTAGCCTGCACCCTCTCTAATCTGGGACATCTTGGAAGATGTCTGACTGCCGGTTTAGGCCCGATTGTTTAGGACCGCTGGCTCCTAAATGCTCTCCTGACTGCTTGCCTGATTTCCCCTAATCACTTCTGCCTGCCAGCCTGATCACCCCCAACTGCCCTCCCCTGCTGGCCTGATCTCCCCCAACTGCCCTCCCCTTCCAGCCTGATGGCTCCCAACTGCCCTCCCCTGGTGGCCTGCTCGCCCCCAACTTCCCTCCCCTGCTGGCCTGATCGCCCACAACTGCCCTCCCCTGCCAGCCATCTTCTGGTGGCCATGTTGTGACAACATGAGGGCGGCCATCTTGTGGCAGCCACCTTGTGACAACATCACGTGACACCACGTAGGCTTTTATTATATAGGATTACACAGAGCATGTTATAATTTTCTTCCATCCTCTAGACCAGCAGTTCTCAACCTGTGGGTCGCGATCCCTTTGGGGGTCGAACGACCCTTTCACAGGAGTCGCCTAAGACCATCGGAAAGCACATATATAATTACATATTGTTTTTGTGATTAATCACTATGCTTTAATTATGTTCAATTTGTAACAATGAAATTGGGGGTCACCACAACATGAGGAACTGTATTAAAGGGAAGGGTCGCGGCATTATGAAGGTTGAGAATCACTGCTCTAGACCTTTATTGATAAATCACACACCAGCACCTCAAACTCAACACATTCCAGACTCAACTGTGCTGTTGGGTGTCAAACTCAGTGAATGTGTCACCATCAGAAGTCAGCCATTGCAGTCAAGTTGCAGTCATTTGGACTTCTGCCCTACTTACATTATTTCCTTGATATTGTCTTTATTTCCTCCCCTCTCCTCCTTTGAACTTCTACTCTTTCTAAGTCCCAGCTCAGATGTTACCTCCATTCTGAATTCATTCCTATGCCCCAGCCAGTTAATCTGGCTTTTTCCATGGTACTTAGAACTTCATCTCTGGTGTCACATATCATGCATTCTGTCTCTACCTCAAGTGTGTGAAATGAAATGTTAGATTTTAAAAAATGAACTATTTTCACTTGCAGAAAAGGCAAAGAAAGAAAAGCTGAAGAAAATTTAACAAGTGAAAGAAAAAAAACACACCTTTTCAAAACTGTGTGGAAATTACAAGAAATATTTTAACTAAAGGACTTGTATGCACATACGCATAACCCATGGACACAGACAATAGTGTGATGAAGGTCTGGTGCAGGAGTGTGCTAGAAGGGGTCAATGGAGGAAAAAAGGAGACATATGTAATGCATTCAACAATAAAAGTTTAAAAAGAAAATTCCCCCTAATGTTACCTAGATGATGTCTATTTCTGTTTTAATTCTTAAGCTGCCACTCCTGAAACACAGAAGACATTGCTAATCTAATCTCTAAATAATTTATTTCTAATTGAGAACTACCAGGAACCTCACTGTAAGTTTAACACGGAACAAATAAAAGGCAGATTATTTTTCAAAAAAGAAAAAAATCACAAGAAATTTTTAAATGGACAAATTCAGAAAAAATAAATCTCTTTGAAAATGTATTAGTGTCTTTTAGGTACTGTAGGTATTTCCATCCAGCCATCCACCCCACCTCTCCACATTCTCCCTGCCCATTAGGAGACTTCATCTGTGTATGAAGGAGAATACACAAGGCTCCTCACATAAACAGGCTTTCCCAGGGCTGAGGAGAGGTGTTGCTGCACTGACTGTCCAGCTCTCTTCAGTTCGTGCTTTCCAGCTTCTGAATGCTGTGTCACCCATTTCTCTTGCCTCAGTTCCATCCTGGTTTCCTCCCATGGGCGTGATCTATGTATCAACTGTTGTACACTTTGTCTAGGCTCTCTGGAGCTTTTCTAACTGTCTGTTCCCCATACTCTTCTGTCTGTGATTCAGGAGGATGAGATAATTACTCCCCATATTTATTCTTAAAGATGAATCACCCTGGGGAAGAAAAATGGGATGATACCTTGAAAGCCCTGTCAGTTGCACTAAGGGTTATTTCGATCCCTAATGCTTATGGATTCATGTTTTTAAAAGAAACGAGCAGAAGCCATGGATGATCCTCATGAGAGCAAATAAATAATTGTTAATTTAGGAAAGAGAAACTCTGAGAAAAGGCATAGGAAGTGATAATAATTAGACTGGAAACTCTGGCAATGAGGAATGACAACTGCACCTTGCTTACAAGTGAAATAAAAAAAAAAATGGCCCAGCTGGCTTGGCTCAGTGGTTGAGTTTTGACCTATGAACCAGGAGGTCACGGTTCAATTCCCAGTCAGGCACATGCCCAGGTTATGGGCTCCACCCCCAGGGTGGGACTTGTAGGAAGCAGCCTATCAATGATTTTCATCATTGACGTTTCTATCACTCTCTCCCTCTCCCTTCCTCTCTGAAATAAAAAAATATACTAAAAATAAATGTCACATATGAAAACATGCTCAAAGTCACTAATCATCTGAGAGATGCAAATCAAAACAATGAGCTACATCTCACACCTGTCAAAATGACTATCATCAACAAATCAACAAACAACAAGTGCTGGTGAGGATGTGGAGAAAAAGGAACCCTCCTGCACTGCTGGTGGGAGTGCAGACTGGTGCAGCCACTGTGGAAGACAGTATGGAGTTTCCTCAAAAAACTAAAAATGGAACTCCCATTTGACCCAGTAATCCCACTCCTAGGACTATATCCCAAGAAACCAGAAACACCAATCTGAAAGGATATATGCACCCCTATGTTCACAGCAGCACAATTTACAATAGCTAAGATTTGGAAACAACCTAAGTGCCCATTAGCAGATGAGTGGATTAGAAAACTGTGGTACATCTACACAATGGAATACTACGCTGCTATAAAAAAGAAGGAACATTTAACATTTGCAACAACATGGATAGAACTGGAGAACATTATGCTAAGCGAAATAAGCCAGTCAGAGAAAGATAAATATAACATGATCTCACTCATATGTGGGATATAATGATCAACATAACCTCGATAAATAAGAATAGATCGATCTAGAGACAAATGGTGGTGGTGGGGCGGGGGGGTCAGAGAACAACCAAAGGACTTGTATGAATGCATATTAGTATAACCAATGGACACAGACACTGGGGCGGTGGGGGCTTGCCTGGGGTGGGAATGGCTGGGTATCAGGGGTCAATTGGTGAAAAAAGGTGACATATGTAAAACTTTAGACAATAAAAAAAAAATTTTTTTTAAAAAAATGTCGACTAGCTGTTGTCCCTTTCCATAGGGAACCAAGCAAAGACAAGAGGCCTGAACTTCCTCAAGTGCGGACATGAAGAAATGCCTCCCTCCTACAGGGTTATTATTTCTCAAGGAGGATGCCAGATCTCTATCTCCGAGAATTGGAAAAGTTTAGAAACCACAGATCTCAGGATGGTTGGAGTGTAGTTCTGATCTTTTGATTGTTACGAGCTGAAACTTGCACTTTTCATTAATTATTTTAAATGAGTTCCCTGTGGTGTCCATATGCTTTCTGACTGCCTCACTGAGAATCAGGTTGTGCTGTCTGCGCTCCCGCAGGGCCTCTCCTTACGGGGAACATTTTTGCACAGATATTATTCTTCAAAGTCTTAGAAGCCTATAACAGTCTGAAAAACAGAGCATTCTTTTACACATCTTGTTTCCGAATCTGAGGGAGCATTCGCTTGTATTTCCTAAGTTCAGCTTTCTTGTCTACTCATCAGTTTAGCCTAACACTGCAGCTAGAAGTCTCTAAGACAATACATTTTCAGTAGCCTCTATTTGTTCTTGGGATTCGACATATGAGTGAGATCACGTGATACTTGTCTTTCTCTGACTGGCTTATTTCACTTAGCATTATACCCTCTACATCTCAATCATATGTGGAATCTGAAGAACAAAATAAACTGATGATAACAAAATAGATCCAGAGGCATAGAAACATGGGACAAGACTACAGAATCTCAGAGGGAAGATGGGTGGGAAGAGATTAACCAAAGAATTTATATGCATATATGCATAACCGATGGGCACAGACAATAGTGAGGGGAAGACCTGGGGTGGGGGGTAGGGGCGGGCTAGAAGGGGTCAATGGGAAAAAAGGGGACATCTGTAATACTTTCAACAATAAAGATAAATTTAAAAATTTAATAGTCTTTTATTTGTAGTGTTTTACATGAAAGGAACAAAACCAGAGGGGCAGAGACTCTGCTCTAAGGCAGCCTTATGATTGTCTCTTTCTCGGGTATGTTTGAAAATTAAGATTATGTGGCGGGAAGGCTTCCCATCCATAGCAATTCATAATACATCTTCATGGCATTCTGACTTGAGAAAAGTGACAAAATAAAAATATTCTTTTAATGTATCCCAGCGTGTTGGCTGTCCCTTCCGAGAGCACTGATCAGCAGCTGAGCTATAAATCTTACCAGTCAAACCACACCTCATTTCACTGCAACCCAGAAGGCAAACACGTGAGGCTTTCATTTCTACTTTACTTTTCTAATTGATTGAGTTTCATAGGGAGGGATGCGGAAGTGGACAATGGCTATGGACTTACTCTCAGAGAGCGATGGGAGCTCTGGAGTTTGGGGACACGCCTCCTCTGGCTCTTCCCTAAAGTATTTCTCAGGGTCTTGAAGAAAAGCCGGTTTATTCACTTCTGGTAGCTCTTTCAGGACTCCGATGCTTAGTGACCTAAATACGCCTTCACAACAGCAGGTGTTGGGGGGAAGATAGAAATAAAAGTCCAATATTTAATTCCTCAGAAGGAGCCAGCATATTTCCAAGTTAATTTTTTTTTAAATTTAACCTTCCTGTTACTCAGCTGGTTCAGCTGCAGTCATCAGCAAACCCTTTAAGCACAGCTGTTCACAATAAATCCATCGTCCTTTCATGCAAAGGAATCAAAAGCAACCCAAAGCTCCCCATTCATTTATTTTTTATTTTCTACTCTTTTGCTATTTTCCCTTGAAAATTAGTATTCTGAAGTTTCCCTTTTATCTATAAGAAAATTGTAGTCTTTGTGACAGGAAATCTGTTTTTTAAGCATTTAGTTTAACAACATCTCTAAATGTTTGAATTTGCAGGTACTTTCTCAATTTCCTAACATGTAAGCCAGAGCTGTGTTGTTGTATATATCATGCATACATTGAGATGATGGAAAGGAAACCTCTTTTGATCACACACCCGTAAAAGCATAGTCTTGGACGATGAGAACATTTTCTCTTTGCTTCATAGGATAAATGGACAATAGATTGGGAGCCTACAAACCTTAATTCAGGATGTGATTTTACATTTGATAGTTAACTCTGCAAAGATGGGAACTTCGCTTTGGTCATTGTGATGGCTCAGGATCTAGGAAAAGTAAACTGATATAGACTCAGCACCTGCTATGGGACAGGTCCTGTGCTGTCAGTGGTTCTCAAACTTTGCCAGGCTTCAGACTCACTTGGAGGAATTGTTAAAGCATAAGCTAACGACTATACACCACTTTGTTTCTTATTTAGTAGGGTAGGGTGGGAACTTACATTTCTAAGTTCCAGGTGGTGTTGATGCCATTAGGCTAGAGAACAACGTTTGAGAAGCAGTGTGTTATGTCAAACCAAAGGAGAAATCTCCATAACCTGTAAAATGCCATTATGCCCTGCTGACAGATAAGGACATAGAAGTGGAGCTCAAAATGTTTTAATAACTTGCCCGAATTTACATAGCTAGTAAACATAGACCTGGGGCTTAAGCTCAAGTATCTTTCACTCCAAAGGTTGTGCTCCAAGGTATAATAATAATAATAACATCTATACTAATAAAAGGGTAATATGCTAATTAGACTGGGTCAACCGGACATATTCCAGACGTCCGACTTCCTTCCAGACAAAGACATGGTGGCAGGGGCTGAGGCAGAGGCAGTTAGGGGCGATCAGGCCAGTGGGGGAGCAAGCAGTTAGGGGTAGATCAGACAGGTAGGGGGGAGCAAGGGGTTAGGGGGCAATCAGGCTGGCAAGGGAGGGCAGTTGGGGGTGATCAGGCCAGCAGGGGAGGGCAGTTGGGGGTGATCAGGTCAGCAGAGGAGGGCAGTTGGGAGCAATCAGGCAGGCAGTCAGGCAAGCGGTTAGGAGCCAACGTTCCCGGGTTGTGAGAGGGACATCCGACTGCCTATTTAAACTAGCAGTCGGACATCCCTCAAAGGGTCCCAGATTGGAAAGGGTGCAGGCCAGGCTGAGGGACACTCCTCCCATCCCCCATGCATGAATTTCATGCATTGGGCCTCTAGTTGCTAATAAATTTGCATTGAGTTTCTATAATATGTCAGGCACTATTCTAAGTGCTTTACATGTAATATCTCTTGTAATCCTGACAAAAATCCTATGGAGTAGATCAGTTTATAAATGTGCATTGAATATTAAAAATTCTAAAATTAAAATATCTGTTCTCTGAAAGTTCAGCTTTCCCATGGACATAGTTGAAGAAAGATTCATAGTATGTGAAATAGTCTCATCATATGATGGAACCTCAGGACTGATTCTCCCTATGCTTTTTTTAAAATTGAATTTATTGGGATAAGAATGGTTAATAAAATTGTACAAGTTTCAGGTATACAATTCTACAATGCATCATCTGAACTGTATTGTGTGTTTATCACTCCAAGTCAAGTCCCCTTCCACCACCATTTATTCCCCCTTTACCTTCTTCCACATCCCCCAACCCCTTTCCCTCTGGCAGTCACCACACAGTTAAATAATACACTTGATTATAATAATGATTCCGTTGTTTCAATTACTTTTTTATAATTATGTTTCTAGTCAGCCAATAACTAAATGAATGCATCATTCTGGGTGGCTATGGGCTTCCTAAGAGCAAAATTTGTTTTTATTCATTTTCATCCCTAAACACTTTGGGGAAAGAATTAACATTCTGAACATTCTGTACCAATGCTATTTGGGGAACTATAGTGGGCAGGTTACATGTGCCTTCTGGCTTAGGTCTTACATGTCCGTCGCTTGTACATTGTGCAGCCTTGGACAAGTCACTTAATGTCTCTGAGCCCCACTTTCTCCTTCGTTAAGTGGGGGTCTCAGGACCTTCCTTTCAAGTTTATTAAGGAACACCAATATTCCTGGCACACACAGTAGCTATTTGTTATTCCTATCAATCAGTAAAATAATAACACTGTAAATATATATCAGTGGTAATTACTTACTGGATGATTTTTGTAGAACTTCACTGCTGTAAAGGTTATGTGTTTTTTTCTTATATATATTTCTTTCCTTATATTTTGTAGCTAAATTTATAACTTCTGATGATCGGACACTGGAAGAGAATAATTCATGGTGAAATAAAATTAACCACAAAGGATGAACAGACACTCTCTGGCTATAAATACTGTATATCTGTTACTTTGACTAAAAGAAAACAAACAAAAAAAACCCCTCTATCCTGTGGACCTAAATAGTGACATTTGTTTATACCAAACAAGCCAAATCTTTGAATAAAATGCCTGCTGGCCATGTGATAATATAAAATGGTAAGAGCTAGAGAGGCTGAGAGGCTAAAGAAAAGCTCCTGTACTCATAACAAGCGGTAGGTCAGAGAAAAAGCTCTGGGGAAGAAAATTTTACAGAAACACACACAATGTACCAATTATGCAGGGTAATCAGTGAGATGTGTCAAAAACTCTTTTATCTGATGTCAGGCTGTATCTTCACTTATGATGTACAAAATTCAGAAAAATTCAGCATTTTTGAGGATTCTCATATGAATCTATAAGAAAATTTTAGGTTAGCTTGAATCCAATAAAAATAGTTTTATCAATAAAACATAGAGTTAAATCATTATATAGTTGTGTATAATTCCAGTCAGAAAATGAGAAATGATCTCAAACATATTTCACACTCACTGTCATAGACCTCAACCTTAATGACTACACATTTCATTGCCAAAAGTCTGACTCCTTAGCTTATTCTGCACTATGGCAGTTTATCAGACTTTCCTTGTTTTTCATGTCTTTGGAAGTTTCGATGAATACTTGTCAGACTTTTGTAGAATGTCCCTTAATTTGGATTTGCCTGATGTTTTTCTTATGGTTAGATGGGAATTATGGGTTGTTGGGAGGAAGTCAACAGAGATGAATCCATTTTCTCACCACATCTTATCAAGGGGACACGCTGTCAACCTGACTCACTGCTTTGGATGTTAATCTCCTCACCTGTCCAAGGTTGTGTTGGCCAAGTTTCTGCACTTTCTTTTAAAAGTTATATTTTCCCTTCCTTTCTATACACTTCTCTCTGGAAGCAAATTTCTAAGTACAGTCCACACGTAAAGGGGGATGAGGAGGGGAACTCTACTCCCTTGATTGGGGTAGTATCTACATGGAACTTTTTGGAATTATAGATTTTCCTTTTCTTTAGGAAATCTTTGCCTTCCAAAAGACGGAGGTCAGGTGGCAGTTTTTCCCCAGATCACACTGGAATGGCCTCCCTCACAACATGGATCTCCTATGAAGAGGGACATATCATTTAACTATCTGGGCTTTGAAAACATGAACAACGGTACATTAGAGTCATTTGAAGATGGTAGGAGAATCTGTAACAGTGAGAAGTTGGTGTCAGATACAAGAAGGACAGAGTATGGTGCTGTTAGGCCTTATAGTTATTAAGTTGAGAATTTTTTTTCCAGAAAAGTATTGTTGAAATAAATTGAGGTATAAAAGATTGAGGCAGGCTTAGAAGTAGTGGGGTTTATCTTTGGACTAGTTAATACCAGGCCTTGATTTCCCCCCAAACATCCTGAACTGTTTCCTGCTTTTAGACCACTTGCTTTCTCACCCAGTGGTATTCAAATCAAACATCTTTTGTATAAAACAAAAGACTTTGACTATCTCTACTAAAGAGTTTAAGCCACAGAGGGAGAGAAGTGGGCAGAGGGTACGAGCGAATCTCCTGGAAACTGCAACAGATTTCACTACTTAGATGACAGCCTAGGAAATGGAGCTGTATTGACAACGCTCCTAAGCGAAGAGCAGTTCTGTGAACAACCAGACCATAGATTTAACTTCATATTCAGAGGCCAGCCTAGTGCTTCTTTTCCAAAGACATTTGATATTTGAGAGAACGGTTCCTGTGAAAATGTACAGGAAACTAGAAAGAGGTGAATATTCCTAAAAGTCCAATATTCCTAATGGATGAAGACAAAAAAGCAGAAAAACGCAATAAAGAGTTTTGAGTTCAAAACTTTTGCAAACATGTCTTACGTGGTGGTGCAAGAAAGTGGGCCTACTATGGGCTCTGGTAGTCTTGCCATCAATTTTATGAGAAGGAAAGGCTCTAAATGATCAGCCATCCCTCGGTCTTGGATGTAAAGGGAAGAATGATGTGTGGCAAATCCCCCACCGCCCTATTATGTATAGAGTAGTGCCTTATACATAGCAGGTACTTGGCAAAATATTTGATCACTTGACTAAGAAACCAATAACTTTTCAACACGATGCCTTTTGAACAGACAGTATGGAGTGGTGGCTCAGAGTACTGACTCTGGAGCCAGAATGCCTGTTGTAGGATCCCTGGTTCACCTCTTGCTGGCTGATTGACAGTGGGTGAATCATTTAACCTCCGTGTACTTGCTTCCCTAGTCGTGAAACAGGGGTCATAACTGTAGCTATCTCTAAGGATTACAGTGACAATTAAATGAGCTAAACACATAAAGACCTAGAACAGTGCCTGGATTATTCTAAGAGCTTAATAAGTATTGGCTACTATCACATTAAGTAAAAAAAGACAGTTCTTTCTACTCAAAGCAGAGGATTCAAATACTCCCTACAGCCAGTTCTAAGACTCCTAGGAACCAGCAGAATGATGAGACAAAAAATAAGGACATAGAGCATTTACAGAGATAATAATTTGCTGTACAAGTATTTTTAAGACAAATTTCAAAAATTGAGTAGACTTTCATTTGCTTTCATTTGTCATGCATGTATGTATGATAGTTCTTGCCACAGATTGTTGGTGAAAGGAGACTGTCAGTCCTCCAAGTGTTTTATGTCACATAAGACCTGATTTAAAATTAGATTTTATTGCTTTGTGTATTTTTTCCCTTAGAGTTGGCCATAAATTTTCCAATTTAATTTCTCACATAAGATCTACTGGCAGAATAATTAAGTAATCAATAGCATATAAAGAATATTAAATATCAGTTCCCTCATCACTGTACAATAGAATTTAGAACATCATAATAATTTCACATGTCTAAAAACCATTAATTTTAATTATGCCTTTTGCTTATATAAACTTACTGAGAAATAAATGGAAATTTCTGTTTCATTTTCTATCTGGTTTTTAAATCCTGGCTTCTTACAATTAACCCTATACCCATAAGTAACTTTTTAATGATAGCCAAAGGAAAATTGATAGATAAAAGCAGGCAAAAAAGACTCGCTCTTCATTGTTCTAATATAAGAATGAAGATCAATGAAAGAGACCTTACAAATGGACAGATTTGACTTTAGCATCAGAGCCATTCTATAATAATAAAAGCGTAATATACTCATTAGACCAGACATCCTTCCAGATGTCCTTCCAGATGACCTTCCGGATGAAGCCCTGCCTATGAGGGTCGAGGCAAGCCACCGTGGCTGTGAGGGCTGAGCCCCTTGCATGAATTTCATGCATCGGGCCTCTAGTTCTATAATAAAGAGTGATTTAATAACAGAGATGGCGACTGTGAGACGGTGAGCACATCCCATAGCAATTATTCAAGAGGAGGCTGGGGATATGCTTTTCTTAAGGCTGTCACAGGAGTTAGTTTCATAGACTTCTACTATCTCAACTTCGCTATTGAATTACTGAAGGTTAATACGCATGTGAAAAAGTGTTCACTTCTACAAACAATTAAAATATGCAATTTAAAACAATCATGAAAGATCATGGCAACAGTTTTAAGACAATGACAACAGTCAGTGTTGCTTCAGAAGGCAGCCATTCTCATATACGCTGGAGAGAGAGCGCATGTGGAGGGGCAGCATTTTAGCAAGATGACCCAAGGGCCTCTAACACTTTTCACTCAGCAACTCCACCTCAAAGAATTTATTCTAATGTTGAATTCAGCTCATTGCTCTCACAATTGCAAATGAAAGTATTTAAAGAAATGTTTTCCCAGTTAAAATGTGTAAACAGTCTACACGTTTGAAAAGAAGAGAATGGTTAAAAAGCCACATGATACATTTCTAGGGAGTCATTAATGAATATTGGTGTCTGTGGACACTCATATTAAAAATACAGGGATAAACTTGCTGTATATTTCTGAGTGGTAACACAGGTTATAAATTATGTATGCTAAATCATCATTTTTATACACTGTACATTTATTTATTAGCATAAGTATGCCCAGAACAAGCCAGGAGAGTGAAAATTCCTAAGTCTTAGCAATGGCTTTGCTATGGGTGATTTCTCTTTATCTTCTCCTCCTTGCTTATTTGTACTTGCAAATTTCCCCTAATGAACATGTATTATTTTTATATTAAAAATATCCTAAGGTTATATTTTCTAAATTATTTTGTGTGTATTTTCTAGATTAATTTTGTGTGAATTCAGAAACCAAATATTGCCATAAAGTAAGAAAAATGCATGTCCATTGTAGTTTTTGCTGCCTATTTTATACTTTAATTTATTTCTTCCTCTTTTTTTTTTTCATTTTCGAATGGTAATTTTTGTAGAACCTAAGAGAGGGCAAAATCTATTTCTCTGTATCAATTGTTAACTTAGCATTAGGACTTCCTTATTCTCTGAAATTCTATATTCATCTTCATTTCCCCAGGGTTTAAATGGAAAATGACATTTAAACACCTACCTACTTCTCAGACATAATATTATAAAATACCTTCAGCACTTTGGGAAACTGGTATGCATGTATAAACCAGAATAAAACCTATGCCAAGGTTTTTATCCTGGGGAAAAAATCTTAGGTGTTAAAATGAGAACACAGTTTTAAATTTTTAAATTGTTTTCTTCATTTTGCCTGCTTCTTCCATTTTTTATTGGCTTTTTCTTTTTGCTTCTCCATCTTTCTTACTGTTTAACTCCTCCATTAAACATACCCCTGCCTGCATACACATATACAGAAAGTGCTTTCCCCCTTTCATCTCTTTAAATTCCTTTACATATTTTTTTCATATTTTTGCATATGGACAAGAACTGGTAAGATTCTCTCCTTGGATTTAATCTGATTAGGAAAACAGCACATTCTTTAGAATAATCTTTTCTTAGGGAGAAAATAATCTATAATCTCTTCAATATTGGACAGAGGCCATGAAAAACATTTTACAGCTGACCATGACTTTGCACCTGTATGTTTTCCACACAAACCTCCTGCAAGAGGTAAGAAGTGACCTGACAGTCACGTCTAAGGATACATTTTTTTACCTTTTTCTCTCAATCTGTTTAATAATTCTTAAATGACATTATCCTATACTATTTCATTACTGCAAAGTCTTAAAATCATTTCAATCCCGTCTTCTAACTTAGGTAAAGGCATACATTTCAAAGATCACAGGTATTTTTCGGTGCATTGTCATTTGACAAGATATAGTACAATAGAGATAACTTTGCTTCTTACTGCTGGAAATTTCTCCCAAGGCCTACAGAAACTTACAACCAAGATGAGAAATATCACTCTGCTGTACACCTATCTAATCTGGAAGAATACAAAGCTCTAGATTTAAGACAAATCTGTGAATTTAGAAACCTATGTATCAGCACTAATTTTCATAACACAAAGTGTCACGCAATAATAGTAAATGTAATAAGATGAGATAGAAGTCAAGAAAGAAGTAAATAGTTCAAATTGCTATCTTTTAATTCTAGGGAAAGGCTTATTTAAAAAATAATAACAGTCTGTCACAAGAAAGGGAAAATTAATATATTGGCTGAAATACTCTTAAACAGGAATCTATAACAATTGCCTTTATTCTTTTAGGGGTGTGACAGGAAGAGAAACAATGATCTGTCTGTGTGATCCTGGGTAACTTTATTTCCTGATCTATAACATTGCGTTGAATAGCTGGGTGGGGACATTTTGTCATATTGAAAGTCTTTCCATTCCCAGAATTCTATTAGTGTACAGGATTGGTCAAGCTATATTTCTCAATTGAAAAGATCATTCTGCTTGAAAGTAAAATGCCACTTGACATTTCAGCATGCTATAATTCAAGGAAAAAGAAGAACAAATACCAAAATGTAATTTAGTGCAACAGAAACTTTTAAAGGGGCTTTTTTCCCCCTTCTATTTCTCTGTCAGCAGAGGTCCAAAAGGTCTGAAAGCAAAATAATTAATTAAGAAGTAAAACCTGTCCCCATATTCCTGAAGTAGCTCTAAAACCAACCTGGTAAAATCCAGGCCAACCACCTTTCTAGGATATAAACAGACCCAATATGCAATACCTAAGAGAGGAGAGGAGGCATTGGTGTTCACTGAGGCCCACTCCACAGAGAGAGTGGAGGGAAGCTTCCCCTTCACTTCTAGCCTGCATTCACACAGATCAAAGGGTTTAATGTGTGCTGTCTGCGGAAATCACGAGAGGGACACAGGCTCATTAATGCCTGCAAAAGTCTACAGGCAAAAAGCTATGTCTGGAGCTACCCAGGTGAGTAAGGTTAGAGGAGACAACCAGGGAGCAGTTGGTGTGGCAAGGATGAGTGAGCTTTCTATTGGCCAAGCAGAAGTTAACCCTAAAGGAGTTGTGCGAGAGGGAAGGCCTGCCAAAGCAGGTATACTGCAACAGGAAAACACTGTGATGTGTATTTCCCAAGGTAACCCCAACTGGGGGCGGGGAGGGGTAGAGCCACAGGAGACTGGCCAAAGATGCACTGATTTGTAAATGTGCAATGCTGAGGTCTCTGAGTGGGGTCCTCAAAGAAGCCACAACGGTACCCCCTTAATTATGGACTTAAATTAATAATAAAGTATCAATATTGATTCATCAATTTAACAAATGGACCACATTAATGCAAGACACTGGGTGGGGTAAGGTGGGGTATGTAGAAATTCTGTACTTTGTGCGCAATTGTTCTAAAATCCTATATGTGCATGGTAAAAAAAAAATCATATTAAAGAAATACAATGAATAAGAGCATCCTTTCAAAAAATAATAGTTGTTTGGTGTGAACAGTAAAATTAAAAGAGCGTGGGTTAGCAAGACTATAGGAAACAAAAGAAATAACTGAAGCTGCCTGGCATGAGAGAGAAAGAGGAATGTAATAATGGGATCTAGCAGAGGGGTGCAAAGAGAAGAAAAGGCTGAATAGCATGAAGGAAAGGCCAACAGCATCCAGAGGAGAGTCATGTCTAATAATCAAAGTTGATCTCTTACAAGTTCTGTCATATAAGCTTCTGTGAAAGTTACCAAAACCAGGAGTAAAATCTGACATACATTCTGAGACAGATGCATACATGCATACACACACACATTGTTTTTTAGGAAAGAGGCAAGTATCCACATTGAGATTGTTGATAGAGCAGAAGCAAAGGACTAGAAGACACTGAATAGAAATCAAGAATTCAATGGAGGCAAGAAATCAGAACCACATATAACCCTGAGGACATACATTCTCCCCGTGCCACACACAAACCTATCAATCCCCCCAATTTTAGAAAAATCTCAAGGTCATCATTGGACATTGCACAGAGTACACGAGGAGTTTGGGCCAACCTTACCTAAGTCTTATCTAGACGCCAGTTGACATCTTGGTAACACTTAAAATTACTTACTTGTATGTTGGCTCATCTTTGTCTTTTTTATCAAGTAGAGAATGTTCTGCTGGGTCTAAGCATGATTCCTCATGAGAAAGTGAAGCAGTTTCCCTTATACTTTCTTCTTGAATCTCACTTTCCATTAAATTATTATCCTTCTTAGGGAAAGAAAAACAGCTTTCAATTTGCCAATGCTTTGCCTATAAAAACAAAGAGGTTTATTTTTTTATGATTTTTTCCTTGAACATTCATATGCTACACTATGAATTAAAGTTGGGGACACACATAATAAAAGAATAAGACAACAGTGGGAAAAAAAAGAAATGAAAACCCAATGAAAGGTTAAGAAGCATAAAAAAAAATAAAATAAAAAAATTAAAAGAATAAGACAAGGTTTCTGTTCTCCAGAAACTTATAGTCTTATACGGGAGGATAAGACACATACATGTAACTTTAATAAAGGTAGAAAGTGAGTCATAGAAACAGAAATTCCCTGAAAAGATAATAATGAAGTACAAAAAAATGGCATTCTTTCTTTAAAATCCGGAATAGTAAGATGAATATTTACTAAAAAGAAAAACAAAGAAAGTTTTTGTTGAATAATTGTCAGAGTTATTTTTTTATACAGCCACTTTCTTTTCATCTTATTTCTTAAAATATGAGCATCCCTCATCCCAAAATATCCTATCTAATAATAGACAAACATGGTAATTAACTGTACCTCCGACACACTTCCCGTTGGCTAATCAGGGTGATATACAAATTAACTGCCAACCAAGATGGTGACCGGCAGCCACGCAGCTGAAGTGAACATGAGGCTTGGTTGCCCTGACAATGGAGGAAGCCAAGGTTCCCCGCCTGACGCGGCCCGGCTCTGAGCCTGAAAGTAACCGCTCCAAAATGCAACTATGTTTCAATTATAGAAGCTAAACAGACCACAGAAACCTGCTTTCAGCCAGCTGGCCAGAGCTGGAGCCACAACAAAGTTTCAATTACAGAAGGTAAATAAATCCCATAATAAAAAAAAGAAAAGAAAAGAAAAGAAGGAGAGACTGGGAGCTTCAGTTGAAGGCTTGGCCTGCCTGAAAACAGCCCTCAGCCCCTCATCCAGACTGGCCAGGCACCCCCGTGGGGACAACCACCCTAAAGAGGGTGTGGCCAGCCTGAAAACAGCCCTCAGTCCCTCATCCAGGCTGGCCAGGCACCCCAGTGGGGACCCCCACCCTGAAGGGGGTGAGGGCAGCCTGAAAACAGCCCTCAGCCCCTCATTCAGGCTGGCCAGGCACCCAAGCGGGACCCCCACCCTGATCCGGGACACCCTTCAGGGCAAACCAGCCGACCCCCACCCATTCACCAGGCCTCTATCCTATATAGTAAAAGGGCAATATGCAAACTGACCCTAACAGCAGAAAGACTGAGAATGACTGGTCACTATGACACACTCTGACCACCAGGGGGCAGACACTCAATGCAGGAGCTGCCCTCTGGTGGTCAGGGTGCTCTCACATGGGAGGAGCTCTGCTCAGCCACAAGCCAGGCTGATGGCTGCCAGTACAACGGTGGTGGTGGGAGCCTCTCCTGCCTCCTCAGCTGCACTAAGGATGTTCTACTGCAGCTTAGTCTGCTCCCCACTGGCAAATGGACATACCCCGAGGGCTGCTGGGCCACCAGAGGGATGTCTGAATGCCAGCTTAGGCCCAATCCCCTGGGGAGCAGGCCTCAGCCAGCAGACAGTCATCCCCCAAGGGGTCCCAGACTGTGGGAGGGCACTGGCCAGGCTGAGGACCCCCCCCCCCCCCCGAGTGCACAAATTTTTGTGCACCGGGCCTCTAGTCTATAATAATAAAAGTATAATATGCTAATTAGACCAGACACCCTTCCAAAGACCTTCCAGATGAAGCTGGGGCTGCAAGGGCTGAGGCAAGCTTTCCTCTGAAGGCCTACTCTTGCACGAATTTCGTGCATTGGGCCTCTATTATATTATATAATAGTTTTCACAGATCTTGACTATAATTCTCAATATGTATCCATATACCCAAATAGCAATACCAATGACAACCTATTTTATATTTTAAATATAGAATCCATTTCCTTGTCTTCTATCAGTTCACATTGTATACATAGGAATGCACCAGAGAACATAGCCAGAGTGATAGAAAAGTGACATCAGGCATCCCTAGGATGTCTGAGTGACCTGCAAATTGATAACCTTGTCAAAAGGGCATGCAAAGTGAAATGCTGACAAAGGCCAGGAGGATAATGACAATGAATGAACCGAGGCTCATCTAAGATGATCAGCGGCAAATGAGATTTGGCCTTACTGGATTAGAGAGAATCCATTTTACAGTTTCTCTCAGGAAACGACATGTTCTTTTTCAAGAGAAGCAAGAAATCTGGATCTTATATGAAATCTTTTTATTTTTAAATGAGGGCAACTAAATCAAATTTTAAACACTGGGTGAAGAGGAACAAAGTCACTGGCCCCCAGATGAGGAGGAGAAGTGCCAATAAAATAACTCTACCCAATCAAACTGTGGTGAGTGCTAAAGGAAAGGCACTGAAGGACTGCACACAGTGTCTAATTTCTTTTTATACTACAATCACCTGACAGTTTCCTGGGATAAATGTATCTCTATGGTTAAATCATTTCCACTCCCATTTCTCCAGCTCTATAAATAGACATACAAAACCACTTACTTTTACAAATCTAACTTGAAAAGCAATCTCCGATCAATAACTATGTTGTAAAAGTGATTCACAGTGATTAAAAACAGTTCTTTCATGAAATATGTAGAATCACATTGCATTAAATTTTAAACACTTTAATCAGACTGTATGTGATTTGAAAATTAAGTTTTAACATGGGAAATTAAAAGATATTAATGCTTTCCTCCTGTTTTATAACTGCTAACCCAGAATTGATTCAACTAAAAGACAAATGTGTCATTTAAATGTAGGGCAAAAAGGCACTATGCTTTCCAAATCAAGTTTGTTCAGTAAAAATTGCTCTGATCCTAGTTATATTTACTAAATGGCTCTCCTTATCTACATGTTTTGGTCTAACTCCCCTATCTTACTTAAAAGGGTGTCTCTTTTTTACACACTTGAAGGACATTCACTGTTACTATTCTCCAATATCTGCTATTTTTCTGTTTCCATCCTCCCTCCCTTCCTTCCCCTTTTCCTGCATTAGGGACTACCAACACCCTTATTCAAGACAGTTTGATTTTTTTAAAAGATCTTAACAACATCTTTAACAGCTCAAGCAGAAGGGACTAGAAAACACAGCTGTCCCTGCTTTGCCAGACTTGACTTTATAAAACTACACCGACTCTTTTTCTGTCTTCAACAGCAGGAAAACAACAAAACACAATTTTCATGCAGGGTTTTGGGGGCTGATGTCCTTCAAAATACAAAAGACTTTACAAAACAACTAAGGAAAAATATCAAGGCATAAAAAATGAACAGTTTACTAGCACATACTTCTAAAATAAAATTTAGGAACAGACTTTGTTTGGTGGGCACAGTTTACGGCACCCACACATAGAACAGTCTTATTCTTGCTTCAACCCCATCTGGGAGACCTATATTCCAGATGTCACCTGCTTGATGATGCTTTGATTACCTGTCATTCTAACCTCACCTCATCTCATGTGAACCTATGTGGCCTGTCCGTACAGCAATGTTGGCATTGCATTAACTTCTCAACTGCCCAAAACAGCTTTCCACCTCATGTGTGTTCAGAATGCCAGTGTGCCCCACTCTCTCTCACTCACTACACACCTACGCACACTCATTTGATTCCCACTCAGATGCTGTTCTCCCTGAGAAAGTCCAGCACCTGCCTCATTTGCAGAGCGGGAGAGACGGTGCAACTCTGGAGCGTTACACTGAGACGCCCAGGGTACCTGGCCAACCGTGGGTCCACCTCCCCAGATTAATTTCTGACTTACCCTCACCCTTCACGCCCTGAAAGGTTGTACAGAATTCTTTTCACACAGGTTGACATCATCAACCTGACTTTACACATAGAGCAACAACAGACTTTGTCTTCCAACACAAAGAGAACTGCTTTGTACTCTCACTGCATGAGAATGGCACCTGAGGTGGCCGCATGGAACCAAGCCAACCAGCCAGACAAAAATGAAAGTATCTCTGTAACCTCACACCACCACGTTCGAACAGTCCTAGTTGAAACAGATCAAACCAAGACTTTGTTCCCCAGAGCGCAAAAGGAACAGGAGCAGAGGTCCCATAAAAACAAACAGAATAAAGAACTGAAAGGTGAGAAGATGAATAGTTCCTTTCATCCATTCCCCTACTTTGGTATTTTCCCCTCTACACATGAGAGCTTGCTTTCATGGGAGCACAGGGTTAAAAGCATGAACTCTTATATAAGCCAGCTTGAGTTAAAAGCAAAACTCTACTATTTATTCACTTCTGTGAGCTCTGTACCTTTGTTTTCTCACCTATAAAATAGTACTAATGAAAGTTCTTCCATAATGGCTGGGCAATTGTGAAGATTACATTAGATTATTCATATAGAGACCTAGAACAGTGTCCCAGGAATACAGGAAAAACTCAACAAATGTTAGCTATTATTATTTTCACAAGAGTAAACCAGATGATGAAGAGCAAGGTTTTTTTTTTTCTAAAATGTTCTATTTGATTATTACCTTGATTATTTCTTGACAGTCAGAGTCATCTGTTTCATATTACATGCTAATATTCTCCATATTGTATTTTACTCAATTTTGAAATGGAAAGAATCGGCTTATTTTAGAGGAGAATTTTTTTTTCTCAAAAACCCTGGAATACGTTTAGCTGCACAGAGCATCTTTCCCTGTCTCTGGTGTCCTCCACTTGATGGAACTGCCATGGTTAATGGTAAACAGGACGAGAGATGCCTAGAGCTACAGCTCCAGAATGGAAGTCAGTTCTTTCATGACTAATGAACATCAACAGCTGATGAGATTCAAATGGAAATCAGCCCAAGTTCATACTAAATGTCAAGTAAATACTAGAATAATAAACAAGCAATATTTCTACCTGACCGAAGATGTAGACAGGTGCGCCGCAGACATCAGTCACACAAACGCTGCAGTCTGCAGAGCAGGAGATAATCAGCGAACTGCCACCCGGCGCGCACATCTCTAAGGAACGTATCTGGTCTTCATGAGGTTGGAACGACCTTATCAGAGTTGGGGCCTGTGTGATTCTGCTCTTACTAGAATTGAGACAGTACTCCTGAATGAAAAGAAATGCCAGAATTCTAAAGAGTCCAAATGTGAAATTATCACAGTGACATAATACTTTTTTTAAAAGTCTGATACAGGAGTGAAAAGTAGGTCCATTTGGGAACAATAATCTGTGATCCAAATGCAAAAGAATAGTTCATGATAACAGAGGTTAGAAAAATGACACTAACACTCAAAAAAAGGTTTCTACCTGATCTAACTAACTTGAGAAATTGAAAGAAAGGAAGGAGGGGGAGTGGGAAGATGAAAAGAAAATGATGAAAAGTCAGTTATTTGATACAGGGGAACTTCATCACATATAGGTAGTCACATATTACATAACTTTAAAATATTATTAGAAAATTGAGGAGGTAATCGGTGACACAAAAATCCCACATTAATTCAGGATGACAATAATGTTAGGTGAAGGACCAGTACTCCATTTAAATTATGTTTAAAGTCTTGCTTAAAAGAAGGTATATCCAAATTATCTATGCTCAAATGATGTTGCAGTATCTTACTGACAATATTGCTTTTCTAAATTGGTTGATTGACTTGAGTGTATTTTAAGAGAAGATTTTTAATACTAAGGAAAATCTGGTTTTCTCTATAAATTATTTAAGAGAAGTCTCTACTCAATACATGTAAATGTTTCCTTTAAAATACTCAGACTGTCAGGGGGATCACCTTGTAAGTTATATAAACAGTCTAACCACTATGCTATTTATCTAAAACTAATATAATATTGATTGTCAACGGTTATTTAAAAAAAGTTTTTAAAATTAAAAATAATTGCTGTAAAAATAAATGAAATACTCAGAATGAATAGTTCTTCTTTTATCTAGGAAACAGACAAGACTGGATTCATAGTTATCTGCAACAAAAGGCAGTCAAAAATAATAAAGTGGATGTAGACTGTTTTCAAATCACCTCTATATTCCATATTTTCAAACATCCATCAAGATCTCCTGTGGCGAGGTATCGATTCAGTTTATCAGTAGCCATAATAATAGATCCAACTCCACTATGAGCCAAAAATTCAGCCAGAAGTTGTTTCTTAAATGTATCCCAGAGTCTGACATACCCAGATCCTCCACATGACACCAAGTTAGCACCTCCTGACAGGAAAAGAATCACCTAGTTAGGAAGCTGTGACAATGATTACAGAAACAACTTCAGTGGCTTGCCCTGTGAAAGCATGGCATGTTGTAGAGGTGGGTAGCCCTGAGATCAATTCCCAGCACTTTAATTCTCTCAAATATAAAATTGAGATAACCCTATGATAACCTCACTGGGTTATGTTGAATATTAAATGAAATAATATATATAAGATGCTCCATTAAGTTTCCTTTCTTTCATTCATTATTTTGATATTACTTGGGTTTTTAAAATTTAGACAAAATTAATTTATTCCTTCAAATAAACTTATAAGACATTAATTGCAAATTGATGATAATATGATTACATAAAACCCAGCTTTCTTAATAACGTATTGGACACAAATACCAAAGAAGTAAAGCTCCTTATACAGAGATCTGGCTGCATATATTTAGCAATAGCAGCATGATCATTGATTTCTCTGTATAGTAGCATGCTTAGAATCCTATTTATGAGCTTATTTTTACATTTTTAATCAAGAATTTATTGTATACTCTTATGAGACACTTTTTTGGTTCATAGGCCTAGAACTAACCTTTCATCTTCCATTTGTATATGCTTTGTAGAAGCACTTTATCTAAATTATTCTTCTGTGGCAAAGTTTCTATTATTATTTGATAAATCTATAGATGACTTTCAATTTGCTTCACCAATGTACTGCCGATTAACAATCATATCTGCTTAAAGTAGAAATAATAGCATGTAGCTGCTTCAGTGGAAACAATTTAGGAACACTGATAACATTAAGAAGAATTAGTCTGGAGAGCAATTTCAGGATAATAGTTCATATTGTGAGTATAAGTGAGTTCCAGAAAATATAAAGTTTTAGAATATGTTTCAAAATCTACTCTAAATATTCCACAGTGCTTCTAAAGCTTTATGGGATTATAACTGTCAATTTTAATGTTGAAAAATTTTATATGAAAATCATGCAGATTTTCTACTTGTAAATTGAATATGAAAAAATGAATAGAGAAAACATAGTGCAGTCCAGGCAATGTGGCTCAGTGGTTGAGAGTTGACCTATGAACCAGAGGTCATGGTTTGATTCCTGGTCAGGGTTTGATTGTGGGCCCAGTGTGGGGCGTGCAGGAGGCAGCCAATGGATGATTCTCTCATCATGGATGTTTGTATTTCTCTCTCACTCTCCCTTCCTCTCTGAAATATATATACATGTATATTTTTTAAAAAAATAAAACATGGTTCAGATATGTTGTTTTAAACATATAACACATATATGTCTAGATTCCTAATGTTAAGAAAAAGCACTTTTAACATATATATATATATACATACATAATATATATACATACATATTATATATACATACATTATATATATATGTGTGTATATATATATATATATATATATATATATATATATTAGAGAAAAAGTAAAAAATATGCATTATTCTCAAAAGAAGATTTTTATTTTGGGTAAGCACAGGCTGAATTAGCACTAAGATAACATAGCCATTGAACATGGAGGATAAATTAAGAAAATGTATATTTCATCTGTATCCTATTAAATAACTACAGTAAATCGGGTGGCAGCAACAGTGTTGGCATGCCTCTCAGCAGAAGCTCTAACCAGGACCCTGGTGCACAGCTGGTAAAGATACCCAAAGTGTAAGTTCCTTTCCCAATTATTAAGACAAAAAGTAGGCAGTTATTTTAAATTTTGCTATTGCCTCCAATCTCCAAGTTTCTCACTATTTGCCCCCAGCCCATCTGAACCAGGTGCCACTGCTGTCCAACGTTCTGCTGCATGTAGACTTAAGCTCACCTCATATATTTGGAGCATTTTTCTTCTTTTTAATTTTTTGAAATTAAATTTATAGGACTGGCATTGGTTAGTAAGATTGTACAGATGTCAAGTGTACAATTCTATGGTATGTCATCTGATATTGCATATTTCTTACTGTGCCCTCTGCCCTACCAAACCTCTTATGTCGTGGCTGGAACACCAATTCTGATTGTTGCCCATAGTATGTAGCTTGCCTGAGTTTTTCTCACTCACTCTGATTCTGGTGTATGCAATACTGTATATATTGCTGATGGCGTCTAGTCTAGTTCCTATTCTTGGACCCATCCTCCTGAACCCTAACTTCATTCGCGGTCAAGGCCTCCCATGACCCAGTACTGACTGTTAGCTAGACACAGTCGAACTCTACAATGCTTAGATACAATTACATTGAATTCTCTTTATTGCACCCTTTGCCAACATTTTACAATATATCAAAGCACTCTGCAGTCAAAATATAAGTATACAGTTTACCTGTCACTGCAACGTTTTTTCTTGCTTCAAGGAAGCAAAGCCTCATCACAGCGTTATCGCACTCGGTGCCAGCCTCATAGGAGCTGGCTCCCAGGGTAGCCTGCTCTGCTGTGGGGTGGCTGGAGCAGCTCCTCGCAGCACTGAGGAGATTTTGAGGCTCTATATGTGTGATAGAAACAAAGCCAGGTGTCTTAATGAACAGAAACATCTGCTTTTCAAACAAATGCTTATGAACAACAGGCCCACTTCATCACAGGCCCAGATGACCCCATCAAGTCTCAGAATAGGTTTCCACTCAATATCCATCAGCCTTCTGCTATTCACTTTCTGAACCCCAACTTGAAGGACTGTTTGACTGCCTTTTTGTTTGCATATTCCATACACTTACAGAGTTTTTCCTTGATATGAATTCATAAGTACTTCATTTTATAGTCACATCTTAGAGATCTTGATTTATTCAAGACAAATGTGATTCTATTATCATAGCATTTGCAGCTTATTAATCATGAATATTAACCTTACAAACAATTTAATAAAGATGAGACATAATAACTATTTAAATATATTTAAACAATCATTTTAGTAATATTATTTATTAGTGAGTTACTTTGGAAAGGACATTCCTAATGGGATTTTGATTATTTCATGACACTATCTCCAATCTACACTGATAAAAACTAGGGATATTCATCTTAGGATGTATGAATAGTCTGCACACAGTTATGAAAAATCTATACAGAAGTATCTTCAAATTTTTAAGGCAAGAAATCTATAGCAATGCCTCTCGTGGCTTTTAGAAACTTGATGCTATCTGCATCCCTTATTTTCTACCTCTATGCTTTAATTATAGCCACAGTTAGGTTTGCCATGAGACCAAGATGGTTCTCCCCTGAAGGCCAATATAGAGGAAGAGGTAGAATTCCATCCTCTCCATGGAGGGTTCAGATGAGCCCTAATACTTAGCTCCTTGTACATAAAGCAGGTCAGAATTTGGGGCCTGCAGGCTAGTCAGTCCTAAATCTCTTAACTATGTTTCTTTACTCTGATCAAATCAGTCCCTCAACTTTTCACACACAAAAACAAACAAACAAAAAAACTATATCTAATGATCAGTCTTTTCCTACGGTCCAATTCAGCCTTTGTGAGTTTATCCAATTGAGACAAGAGAACCATGCTGGGCCATGAGAAATTACATATTCATTACTCAAATAAATTAGTCTAAGGAAAAATCTTTAGTATCTAACAAAACTAAAATAAAATGTGAAAGGCAATTGTCAGGATATTTTGCTCAAGTATAAAATATTCATGTGCTCTGCTAAATTCCCATAAAATACAATATACTCCCATCTAACGCTCCCACAAGTTTCTAAAACAAGAAATAATTTAAGATTTCCAGGTGGCATAATATTTAATACAAGCTCTAGACTGAGCCTGAACAGCCAATCAAGTGCACATGAGTTCCCATTTTCTTACCAAGGGGTACCCAAGGCTCACTCAAAGGCAATTTGGTGAAGTTTATTGGCAACAACTAAACTAGATAGAAATGAGAGTCTGCTCCCTGCTGTCAGTAATTCAGAAGCACTGATATAGTATATGGAGAAAAAAATGTCATGCCAGGGAGAATTTGCTAAGCCAAGTAAATCTCAAGAATTTTTTAAAGTCACTCTGACAAGACAACAATATCACTAATCCCTTGCGCTTATAGCCAATCATCTATAATTTAGGAGCAAGCTGCAACAGTACATATATAAACAACCAGGCCTGCTGTGGCCTGACTCAGCCACATTATTTTAGTTTCAAACTTGCACTCACCTGATTTTGATTGTAGCAGCCTCTGGTAATCGGGATGAAGGACATAGTGAGCATTTCCTGTGCTGTTGTTCCACAGAACAATTTCTCCATCATAACTCCCTATATGAGCCAGCATGGAGAACATACATTGGCAGAAAGTTAGAGGAATATGAGCAACAGCAATGAGAAGAAGTCATTAGTATAAGATCTTACATGGAATCTGTCACATAGTAGGTACTCTATATATTTTTGGAGACGAGTGAATAATACAATTAGTATTTTTATTAAAACTTAGAACTTAACAATCTTTAAAACATATGTATGCATTACGTCTGATAAAAATTACTCTATCTTTTTATTTTATAGAATAAGGGCTTTGCAATTAAACACCTTGAGTTTGAGTCCTCGTTCTGCCACCTACTAGCTGTGTAACCTTGGGCGAGTTATTTAATTAGATGATGCCACAATTTCCTCATCTAAAAAATTGGGTTAAAATTGTATTTCTTAGGGTTGATGTGCAAAATGAGAAGTACCTAGAATAGTGCCTAGCATATTATAAGTACCAAAAAGTGCTAATAATTATCATACTTTTTTTAAGAAGTGAGGGCAGCCAAATCAAGTTTCGCTAGGTTTGTTTCCCATATCTCCTTTTTGATGTGTGTGTCTTCTTTTCATTCCCTCCCTCCTATATTATTTGTTGCATATTACTTTCTCCAATCCTAAAGTTTTTCCTACAGAAAGTCTTTTCTTACTGGTCATCGCAGAGAACAGAGAAAAACCCAACAAATGAGGGGCTAAGTCTGACCAAGTCTCTGCTCTCAGCAGCTCAATAAGGACAGCTCCCTACTGAGCAGAGTGTCAATATCCAGTAAAGAGCAGAGGGGAAAGGCTGAGTTTGAGTGGGGTGTACATATGGTGCCTTTCTTGGGATTTGGAGAGAGAAGAGAGTAATACATACTAAGTCCTGTCCTGTCCTGGGGAGAGCCCCTGTGCAACTCATAAATTGACCATCGATGATATATCTCCATAGATTAGCTGTCCATCAGAGCACCTATCTTCTCCTGTGCTTTTGAAATGTCCTACTTTCAAAGGGCTTAAACAAACATTTGCACATAGGACTGATGGGATGAGAATGAATGAAGACATCATCTATTCACCAATTACAGTGGTATTTTATGACACTTCAGAATAACAGCTCTACAGCCTTACAGATTGTTGCCATTATCCTGCAGTATGAGCTACTCCCTGCGGGAGTGGACTTCCAGCAGCTATAAAGCAAATTGAATAGCAGTGTTGGCTGTGCTGGAAGGTAATCAGGAAAGTCCTAAAAAACACTGCAACTTTAAGTGCAGATAGAGCAGTAAACTTCATATTGCAACACTTCATAGCTATCCTGGCTGTTTTCCTGTAAACTTTCATTCCTCTTAATTGATGACATTTTTTGATTCTAAAAAAAGAAAAAAAGAGTAGGCTGTCAAAATATGGACTTGTTAATTTCATGGTGCGATCTGCCTTTATAAATTGTTTTCTTTGGCCAGAAATGATGTAACAATGACTGTTTCTCTTTAATATGTCACATCAAAGTCTGTCCATGGATCCTTTTAAGAACTTAAATTTGTCAAAATTTTATGAGGCCAGTCTTTAACCAATATCACTTTGACTACATTGTGCCAAAGGGTTAATACATTCCCATTATAAAACATCTGAGTGCCACAGAAGTGTGATTTGTATCCAAGAGCCCTAATGCTGCTCCTGGAAAAAGGACAATAAAAATAAAAGCTCACATTTACGTCCAGCTGGTGTGGCTCAGTGGTTGAGCATCAACCTATGAACCAGGAGGTCACAGTTCAATTCCTGGTCAGGGCACATGCCCAGGTTGCAGGCTCAATCCCCAGTAGGAGGTGAGTGGGAGGCAGCCAATCAATGATTCTCTCTCATCATTGATGTTTTTATCTCTCTCCTCTCCCTCTTCCTTCCTCTCTGAAATCAATTTTTTAAATTTTTTTTTAAAAGCTAACATTTACTGATGAGCTTACTGTTTGCCGAACACTGAGGTAAGCCCTTACACAGATTATCTTATTCAATCTTCACTATAAAATAAGATATGGATACACTATTGTTAGCCCTATGGCACAGAGAAAACTGATTTAAATAACTTTCCCAATATCGTGAGTTGCAAGTGGTGAAAAAGGATCTAAAGCAGGGGTGGGCAAACTTTTTGACTCGAGGGCCACAATGGGTTCTTAAACTGGACCGGAGGGCCGGAACAAAAGCATGGATGGAGTGTTTGTGTGAACTAATATAAATTCAAAGTAAACATCATTACATAAAAGGGTATGGTCTTTTTTTTTTTTTAGTTTTATTCATTTCAAATGGGCCGAATCCGGCCCGTGGGCCATAGTTTGCCCACGGCTGACTAAAGCCAGGTAGCCAGGCTCAGGTGCCCTAGAAATAAGGACCAAGAGTAGCTTTAAATGAAAAAAATCTATTCACTTCGCAGTTGGGAAAAGTTTTTATTTTTTGTTTGTTTTTTTAAGTGAGTGAGATAAAAGAAACCAGACTTTCACCATTGATTGTCAAGTGAAGGTTTAATTAACCTGTAGCAAGCGTTTGTGGAGGTAAGAAGGCAGCACAAATGATATCATCCCGGTGCTGTATTCCTCCTTCCCATTCCTCCGGGTAGACGGAAAACTGATTGAAGTTCTGAGGTCGAAACACGGTTAGAGCCCTAGTAAAAAGGATATACAACTTAGCTGGGGATCTGAAAATAATAGAGATATTGACTAGCCATTGTCAACGTGGGCAGTGTGACTTGAGAGGTCTAAAATACTACACTATCCAAAACTTAATCCCCACATGACATCCATGATACTGAACTTCCCACATTAAATTTTCTCTTGGGTACTCTCATTAAATTCTCTGGTAAATTATAAATACTTAGCATTAAAAGGTTAATTATCTTTTCACAATCACTAATACCAAACATGTATGCACTTACCAGATTAATTATTCATCACCAGAACCCTACTGCAAAGTTTCCCTGTATGGAGCCACTAAGAATTTTGTGACTGTGACAATGAAAAAGGGGATGAGCCTGTGAACACATAGTATTTGGTAGTTTGAACAAAACTGACAAGATTTCTTTTCATCAGAGCATCCAGGACTTGTTAACATACCCTGAGGCATTTCCCAGACTTACTTGACCACAGAGTCCTTTCACATACAGTGTCATGAAGAACTACCAATTGGGGAACACACTTGGAAAATGCCACTCCAAAGGAATGGTACACAGGACAGATACGTTTTGAACAAAAATAATCATTTAAAGAAGGTCAGTATCTTGAGGTCTTGACAGTGAATTTGAGGACAGGCTAGGATGAACAGAGAATGAAATGCCTGGTTCTTGATGGGGAAATGAGAAGCACAAAAACTAAATTGTGAGGGTATTAGTACTACCCTGTTCCCACTTGATTTGGACTCTGGCTACCAGCCTGTGCTAAGCCTCTTCTTCCTTCTAAAGCCACACACAGCTCAATGAGTGTCTGTAACCACAGGCTTGATGACTTCACTCTCATTCTCTTCATCTCCCAGAGATTTTCCTTCTATTCCTACAGCTCTGAAGGTCTCCCAATTGTCCTGTCATTGTAACTCCTCATTCTCTGATGGATGTGGCTTTCTCCTCCTATAAAGTCTTTTGTTTCTAGTATGTCCTGCGTCTCTTCTTGCCTCCGACTTTCACTCCCTATTCTCTATTTTCCCTTCCTTTTCTCTCTCCTCTTTTAATATGGACATTTCTTATTGTCATTCTGCCAATCCATCTCTACTCAAAAGAGCTTGTTCAGGAATTTTGTAGACCACCATGAGCCCATATCTCGCTTATAAATGGTTCTTAAAACTCCCTTCATTTTTAACTTTTTCCAGTGTTGAATAGTTCTCCCTTGCCAGTTGACAGTTGCATATAATGCTCACATTAGCAACATATCAAAAATCCAAAACTTTCATCTACCCTCCACATCAGCCCTCCTTAAATTCCCTATTATGACCATAATTTCAGCCTCCTGCATGTCTTTCTCTTTCTCAGTCAGGTTAAATACTCAGATTCTACCTTTGTGAGATGTTATATACTTACTCTTCCTTTTTACTTATAATAGCCAGTGACAACTTCCTAGTTCAGTGCTCACTACCTTATGGTTGAACAATTGTAACAGTCTCTTCATCACTTTCACTTCCTCTTATCTACCCATCTCTGGTACACTCTTCATCTTGCTACTAGATGACTGATTCCATTTCAGGGAGCTCTTAAAATGCATTTATTCTATAAGCATTTCTTATTTCCTCTGTAGAAGTCTCTATTCTGCAGGAAATAGAGCCATGAACATAAATGACTAAAATGCAATAAAATGTGGTAAATGCCAAGAAATTACTGATCAAACTGCCATGGAATTCCAGGTATAGAAATCGCAGAAGGCTGAGTGCAGGGGTCATATTGAAGCTGAACCATAATAGATGGGTAGGATTTGAAAGAGGAAGGCAGTCTACGCAGAGTGGGGAGACAGCATGAGCAACGTTAAAGCTCATGCTCTGTTGAAAAACATTTACTAGTTTTCAGTTTCCTACATGAAAAGAAAATCAAATGTGTGGGCCTGTTATTAAAAACCCAATAATATTTGGGTACAATACAATTTTTAAGAATAATTTCTCTCTATTCTACTATCCTTGCTTTTTAAAATAAAATTCGAATGTCCAACCAAATATTTGACAGGGCTACTGAAAGCCACAGGGTACATACAGAATTCCTTCCTACGTGTTCATTTTACTCAAAGAGTTTTGGAGAAAATACTTTTGACATCAAAATAAGGATAGGTGAATTGATATAATAGAATGCAAGTTTCCCCTGGATTTTAAAGATAAAATATAAGGTTTCAAATAAAGTTCTTGCTTGCAGGAGCTATTTTGAACTATTAGGAGTATTCAGGGGTTATGTCTCCTTGGTCAATCCAAACAATATTCTTATTGCTCTCCTCTAAGCACCTTTCTTGTTTTCTAGGCACCCTTTATGCTTCTAACTGCTCTGTGTCACTCATGATGTGTTCTTCCATCCCTATATGGATTTCCTTTCACACACAGACCCATATCTACTATCCATGCACCCATTGTCTAAGGCCTATCTTGTTCTGGTAGTGTCGAGTGTTTCCTTCCACGACACGCGTGGAGTAGGGTTCGGTACCTGAAAGAGGAGCCGCACAACAAATGAGAGGAAAATGACACGAGATAATTTTGCAATATTGGAGGTCCAGGCGGGCAAGTCCAACTCAAGGAGAGGGACTTCCACCCATGCTCAGGCTGCTCCAATCTTTTATTGATCTGGAGTAGCCCTTAGGCAGGTGACCCCCTAGTAACAAACAGACTAGCCCATCAGCAAGGATTTACATAATAATAAATGGGAGAGTAGTTTCAGCTACCACTGTCTGGACAAACAGAGGTGGCGCCTAGCTCCGGGCTTTGCTAGGGCTTCAAAGGCACCCAGCCTTGGGGGGGGGGGGGGGTTTCGGGGAGTTCTCTGTCTATGCTTATCAGATAGTGAAGGCAATAAACAGTTTCCCACATGGTAGGCTTCCTTAATTACTAGAGTTGAAAGAATAGCTTCCTCTTCTGACCTCTTACATTGCTCACCTTTCACTTTAATAAATATTATGTAGTTTTCACTTCTCTGCTAGTTTGTAAGCTCTCAGAAGCCAGAGAGCTTGTCTTATTCTGCAACCCCACAGTAGCAAGCATAGTGACCTACGTATACTGAGTGTTCAATAAATATTTGTCAAGTGACTGAATGAAAAATTTCTGTTCAAATATTGCCTCCTCAAGTAAATCTTCTCTGGTGATCCTAAAGACTCCTTGAGTATCTCATCCTCACCTACATAATTTTTCTTTATTACATTATCTGTATATGATATTGTGGTCTATGTTTATTTGTCTGTTTCTTCCCCTTTATTCTGCCATACATAAGCCCTAGGGGAGCAGAGACCTTGTTCCTTTCTTCATCAGCAGTTCCTAGAACAGTACCTAGAACATAATGGGCACTTAATAAATATTTGCTGAATCAGTGGATGAATAATTCTATTTTTTAATAATTTAATATTGATGCTATTTTAATATGAGGTTTATCAAGATATATATAAACCACCAGGAGGCAGACACTCAACACAGGAGCTGCCATGACATGCACTGGCCATTTACAAATAAATGGCACTATGGACCTGGTGCAGACAAACCAACAAACCAACACTCAGCTTCCCCAAAGTGGGACACAGTCCCCACCACCACCCTGGAGCAACACCCCACCAAATCACAGCCAATGCTGCCAAGACCCCATGGAGCAAAATGTAGCCCACAGCCCAGCCCAACCTGGAAATGGTTGCTGTGGGTGCCTGGTAATGATGTCATGTAGCAACACCCAGCTTCCTCTCCCTAGCGACTAGCTTCCTTGGAGTTTCTTCAGCCCAGGAACCTGACCTGTTTTATAGCCAGGTGCAAACATTTTACACTTTAAATGTCTGTGAAGCATTTTCTGGTGCCTCATCTTATTTAATCCTCACAGAAGTCCTGGAGTAGGTAGATAGGAGACTTGATAGAATACTATTTTCTTTTCATTAGCCAGAAAATGAAGATTTAGAAAGTTTAGAAACTTGACCCAACAGGAAAGAAGTAAGAAATAATGGACCTTGAAAAGGACTTCAGATTTTCTCACGGTGCAGAATATAGTCAAACACTGCTGCAGTTAAGTATTTTACCCTTTGTTCTCCCTGTGTGATCCACAATAATAATCTGCCTCGTGTTGATATTTACTGCTGTGCTGCTGACAATTACCTGAAAGAGAAGTTGGGGTGCTTCACTGGGTTGAAAAAAGTTTAGCTAAATCAGAAAGCAGGTCCAATTAAGCAAGTTTATTTTATATCCTATCTAATAAAAGAGAAAGATGGTAATTGGCATACGACCGCTACCCTTCCCATTGGCTAATCAGGGAGATATGCAAATTAACTGTCAGCCAAGATGGCGGCCGGCAGCCAGGCAGCTAGAAACTAACATGAGGCTTGCTTGCTTCAGTGACAGAGGACTCCAACGTTCCCCGCCTGACTTGCCGGCCTCTCAGCTGCAACTCTAAGCAACTATGTTGCAAATATAGAAGCTAAAAAAAACCCCAGAAACCTGCTTTACTCAGCTGGGCTTCAGCCAGCCGGACCGCAACATTGTATCAAATACAGACGGTAAACAAAGGCCAGAAACCTGTTTTCAGCAGCAGAGGTCTCAGAGCTAAAGCTGGCCCAGAATTAAAAAAAAAAAAAAAAGGAGTGGTTGGGAGCTTCAGTCACCCATCAGCCTGAAAATGGCCCTCAGCCCCTCAGACAGACTGGCCAGGCACCCCAGTGGGGACTCCCACCCTGATCCAGGACACCCTTCAGGGCAAACCAGCCAGCCCCCACCCATGCACCAGGCCTCTATTCTATATAGTAAAAGGGTAATATGCCTCCCAGCACCGGGATCAGCGTGACAGGGGGTAGTGCCCAAACCCCCTGATCACCCTGCGGCTCTGTGTGTGACAGGGTGCAGCGCCCTAACCCCCTGATCGGCCCTGCTCTGTGGGTGATAGAGGGCGGCGCCCCAACCCTCCCCCCCCACCACGGGCCCTGCTCTGTGTGTGACGGGGTAGAGCCATAACCTCCCCATTGGCCC